AATAAAGAGTGGTGGACAAGGTTCTGATAATAAGCAAGTTTTTTGTTTAGCGGATTATCTTTCTCAATAAATTTGAAAATTGCTAGTGGAGCAATTAGCTTATGCTAAATTACATTTTGCCAACTTTAAGCCTGCTAACAGCTAAGTGTAACTAACAAAGTAACAAAAGGTTTGTGTCAGTCCCACCTGTCTTCAGCTGAAAGGAGACGAAGACAAGCGACGCAGACTGAGGAACAGTCGTCTTAGAGGTTAGAAGTTAGCATTAGCTTCTGCTAATTGTTACTTATTTAGCATCAATAGAGMTGTATTTTTAGGCAGCGGATTATGAGTTAGTGAATCTAAATGTTTGCTTGGCTGTGCCGTCCACTCAAACAAACACAAACATATCAAGTTATTTTATTTTACTTTTTATTTTTRAGACGGTGAATATTTTGTAAAGATTCATGTGTGGAGGAGAAACAGTCATATGTTCATCTGCACATGTCTGATGACCTCAGATCGGCCACAGACAGCCAGCATTATTAAAAAAGTTGAGTCGGGACCCCACTGTGGGCTGGGAAAGGACAAGTGTGCGGGGTCACAGAAAAAAACCTGACAACTTAGATCAGACCTGCAGCCTCATTATTATACTTTAATATTAGTTTCAGTTGTCATTGCATCTTTTTTTATTATTATTATCAATGTTTGCACACTTCCAGCAACAGATGGGGTCACAAGTCTTTGCTGATGTTATTTTGTGGGTCAGAACTTGAAAKCTTTTGGAAGCACTACACTATAGAGAACATTTACACCAGCCGATGCAGAAGCAGATAAAATGACACAAGGTTTTTCAGCCTCTGGTCATCCAAGCTGAGGAACAGCCTCTTCCATGAGGCTCTGGACTTTGTGTACTGCAGAATTTTAGCTGCTCAGGTCATTTATTTATTTTTAGMCGATCTGACATGGATGAATAACTAAAGAGGAAAACATAAAAAATCCCCAGATTTAAGAACGATGAAAATGGGGATTGAGGGAGACGAACAGGAGGAACTACTGAGAGAACTGGCTGAAGGGTTGAGGGGTTTTCATACTGCAGTGATAAACGTGACAGAAAAGGAAAACTGCAAATAATTCTATTTATAAGAAAGTGTTAATCAATCAATAAACCAAGGATGAGATGTTTTATACTTGGAAGCATTGCATACTTTTGAGCAGCGGCTTTAAAGAGAGCGGGACAACAGAAATAGCCTTTTCAGTGACGCACCAACACCTGAGGCCAGCATTGCGACGCAGCTGAGTGCCCTGACCCCGTGTCTCTGCTGGAAGGCCCGCAAGCAAGGCACTCCCTCAGCAGCGGCGTCGCATCTGCCTCCCCCACACGGCAACACTGGCAGTAATCCACAGCAAAACATTAGAGGGGAGGGGGACTGATCCGAGGATTATAGCCTGATGTCTTAATGATTTATAGCCTGTATGCATGTTTTTCATCATATTGTGAGCTAAAATGAACCAAAAGCCCAGCAAAGTGCGAATGAGTGACCTTTTTGGAGCGAAAGAGGCTGGATGGGTTTTTCCAAATATGCACAGAACCAGGCTCTGGACCACAGAGCAGAGAGAATGAAGGTGGGACCAAAACAAAGTGCTGAAACATTTTCTGTAGTCAGTCAGGGATGGACAAACAGGGAACATGACACCACTTGGGGGAGACAGGGAGCACGCAGGGAGGGTGGTTGTGGCTTTATCCCCATGAACACAAAGGGTATTAGGTTCACTGATGATGGGAGAGTGAAGCATCTCTCTTTCAGCCCAGTTTTATTAGTAAACACAGCTCAGGAGGGCTGAGCATCCTGTTGTTTCTTTATTAGTAACAGAACAAAGTTGAATAAGTGCTTCCTAATGACCAAACAAACTCTGAGCTGAAATTAAATGATTGTATCATCTTGTTTACAGTCTGGGTTCTTACTGGAAGTCGTCCCACATGGAGATATAATAATTTTTTTTACTATGAGGTTTTTGTTTCTGAAAGCCAGACGAGCAGAAAACTTAATCAGTCCTGTTTTAAGTTAAGGTTCAACCACCTTTTATCAGCTGGTGGCAATGCTTAGCATGAAACCTTTATTGGGACTTCCTTTATTTTAAATTTCATTACCGTTCTCTACACAAAGCAGAACATGCAGACACGTGTCGTGTTTCATCCTGAAAGCAGTCTTTGATCCAATGCTTTAATCAGACCACAACAAAGTCATCTGTGCGAGTGGCCGACAAGCTCCATAAACCTTTTATAAAAGACAATTTGAATTCATCTTTGTGGAAATAAAGCCTTTTTTAAATCATTTTGTAGCATGAGCTGAAATGCCAAGTTTAGCCGTCCTAAATGTGGTAACGTACAGCAGAAATAGCCTCATTAACAAAGCTCCGAGAGCACAGATTAAAAAGGCCACCAGCCCTTCGAGCACCTGGGACACACTGAGCTGGATTAAATTTAACCCGAGGAGAGATACCGACAAGAATCAATGATTTTAAATGCCTCCGTTKATTGTGCAATGGTTTCAGATGACAAAACACGATCACCTTTACAGGCGGAAGTGGTTTTGACATTATTTCAACTGAGTGTCAACGCTGACATCATGTCTCCAGTTTAGATTTAAAAATCTAATAAGGTTGAGTCAAGTCCTCTGGAGAGGTTCTTCTTTGTTGAAATGTTTAATCTTTTATCCAAAAGACTACTGGTTGTTCAAATGAAAATAAGGACATAAGTAAGATAATAACTTCAACAAACAAAATCCCATCCAGAGGACCTGACTCAACCCTGGATCACTTGGCATGCATTAGAACATTAAAAAAATGTTCTTCAAAGTCTCAATGCATCTCAGTAATCCAGGTAAAAAATCAAAAAGAAAAAAATTGTATAGGTCTTCCGGATGGGACCTATACAATTTTTTTCTTTTTGTTCTTCAAAGTCGTTCTCTTTGCCAGAACATCCTGAATTGATATCATCCTCTCCAGCCAATGAAATCATTAGATTAGGATTAAATCCCCCCACTGATTTACAGGCGCTAGGAGGAGCCGAGTTGAGGTGATACAAATAGCATTTGGCCTTGGGCTTTACCCAGATTAAAATGCTCCAGTGTTCATTAGAACAGAGCCATATGCGCCCTGTTGGGTCATGAATCTTTCAGGCTCTCTCTGTGGCATAAAGGGTGGTTGGAACTGAATATTCCCTYGCAGCCTCCGGGGGGGGGGGGGGGTGATGATGGAGTGTGTGCGTGTGTGTGTGGTGGGGTGACATCATGTCGAGAGAGAACATTTTTACAAAAAGCCACAGGAAAGYAACAACGTTTTTCAGCAGGGAGACACTTTGTGACACTGTTTCAGCACCCTGGTTAAAACAAAAAAAAATAAAAATAAAACACACAAATAAAGACCACATCCTGCGAGCTGAGCACTCAGGGTAAAAATGAATGACTAAGGCTTCCTGACGGAGTGGGGCATCACGAAATGTGCCGGTTCTTGCAGAAAGCGGTGCCGCAGTCAGATTTCAGCACCAGTCTGTGCTGGACAGCGACAGCCTCCCCTCCTTCCCTCAGCACAGATGAGTCAACTTCAGTTCACAAAGGATGAAATTGTATATGACACACAGTCTGAAACTGTGAACCCTCCACGACAGCGACCTGTTACTAAGCCGGGGGGACATGTTTGCTGCATTGCTGTGTAGCTGGACGGTACTCACCCCAGCTGCTCGCCGTTCTGCCCAGAAACTCCCTGGTCCTGGGGTTCCATATAAACTCTGTCCACGCGCCCTTTTCTCCATCCTTCGCCATTGTGTCCTAAATAGATAATTGCCTTTAAAACCTTCCAAATAGAGAGCAACAATTACCCAGAGTCTGTTTTATCGCCGGTAAATTCAAGAAACTGGCTTACTCGACCATTAGCGCACGCAAATCTGAAATTACAATTAAAAAAACACAACGCGGCCTGTTTTGTTAGAGGAATAAATGGCGGTCCAGCACCCTAAATAAGTGTCTCCCCTCAAGCTCTGGTCTGCATGCCGCAGAGTTTTGATGAGTGGTGCAGAAAATGTAGTGATACTGCAGTACAGCGCTCCCTCCGCCTCTCCCTACAAGCGGMCACACACACATTCACAGAGGAGCGCACCAGCTCAGCATCCTCCATGACCGGCAAAAGTAGCCCCGCCTCCTTCTCCTCAGCCTGACCAATCAGCTGTCCCAAAACATTAAAGACAACCTTGACAGGCAATCGCATTGCGGCCCAGCAACACGATGAAGTCGTAATGTAGGTAGAAAGGAGGCAAGAAACAAAAAACTCATTTAGTCTTTTCAGGAGGTCCAAGTGTCTTTTCTAAGCTACTCTCATCAGTTTTTTATTTTGCTAACTCATGGTGTATAATTAATTAACCTGGTCACAATGAATTAAAATTCAACTATRCAAATTATTTTTCAGGTAGCTGCATTTCAGCTTTCATTGCAATGTCGTTAAGACTACCCTTACCAAGTATACTTCAAATCATTTAGTATATTTTAGTATAGTAAAGTATATTTTTCCCAACTGTACTTTTATTTGCCAAGTACACTGATATAAACATGAAAGCAGTTTACTATCTTCTAGGTATTCTATTTCTTTACTAGCAGTAAACGTCTACTTTTAGTTTCTGAAAATACACTTTAAAGTTTTCTAAAAGTAACCACTTCTTCAGGGTCCAGAGTGGGGCAAATGAAGGTGGAGGAAGACGTGTGTACTTCGTCTCTCCCACCCAGATTTTAATGCAGCAGTGGGATGATTTGAACCACTTGTAGGCTTGCCTTTTCTAACCTGTGTGCCAACCCTCCTCCCATTCACTGTACTGCAAATAACCTTATACTTATGCTCCAATATTAATGCTGAGTAAAAAAAAGAAGAAAAAGAAAATTGTGATAAAATATCACATCTACCCTTCCTACACCATTGCTTACTTTTAAATTAGTCATAAACTGACCTGTTCCCAAAAACTTACAAGAAAATATTAAAAAACAGGATAGGATACAAAACATCTTGTAATGCAGTACAAATACACTAGGAAACTTACTATTATGCAATGTAATACTATATTTTGGTCAAAACRTTACATACAAGCATAGGCTAAATATAAATAAACTTTTAGTACATTTTTAGCATAACCAAACTTTGTTAAGTATAGCGCTGATAATACACAAAGACCCTATACCAAAAAGTGGTATGCACAATCGTTTCTTAAGTATACTCGTTTTAATATAAAAAATAAAAAGATTGTACTTTCAGTTTCTTTTTCTGCACTAATCAGAGATATGCTTGAAGTTTATGTTACCTACACTTGGCTTATGCTACAAATATACTAAAAGTATACTTGTCATGTAAACATGTTCTGGGGAAATATACTTTTTACTTTCACTTTTGGTAAGGTGATCCAACACAAAGTAGACCCTCTTATCAAATACTACTTTTTAGTTAGTATTTCACACAGGTAAAAGCAGTTGAAAATGCACTGAATCACACACCATTTAAACATCAATCATTTTATCTATCTATCTATCTATCTACCTACCTACCTACCTACCTACCTACCTACCTACCTACC